ACATTGATTTAAAACAGCATTTTTAATCAAAGATTATTCTCCAAACCCCCCCAGGAACTGAAGACCTTGCAGAATACTGCTGTAAGATTCAAACATCAGCAAGGGGTCAATTTATTTGAGTCTGTGCTGTGAAAAATACAATTTCTACTGTCTAATGACCCACAAGACAGTCTCATTTTACTCCCCTGGGCCTCAGAAGAATACTTCCACTTTCTTTAGTTAATTATTCATGCGGATGTGAGTTTTAAATCCTGAATGCTGTCTGAAACCTACCCTTGTTTTTCCTCTCTTTTTGTTTTCGAGCTCTGGACCTTAAATGCATGAGTTCTCTGAATGCATCCGAGTCACTGTTTGTGTATTACTGCCTTCCAAATCAAACCACACATGCGTCTTATGGCTTTCTATTCCTATGTGAGTTCTTTCTAACATGTCATGTAGGGTTTAAAGCCATTGGATACACAGTGGACTTTCAACTGAGGAACTCTATTTGAAGATTTTTGGGTTTGGGGTTTTTACTGGAAAAAAAAAATTGTCAGGTGTCTTTATTGTGATTTCCTTTCATATGTACAAAAAAAACCCCAACAAACCCCCACAAAACAAACCGGAAAACCAAATACAGTTCAAACTAGTTAGGGAATGATAAATTACAAATAAAGTATTCCCAGCATGCGGGATGATTTATGTTACTTTGGGTTTGTAGCATTTTATTTAGACCAGCTATTTGTTGCCTCTGAAATCTTTTGTAATTACATCAACAAAGCTGTAGCCTGGAGCATCGAGATCACAAAGCTCTTTTCAATCAAACTTTTGGAGTTGGGGGGCACATATAGTCAGTTTGAGTTGCAGCTTACATAAGATATTTTCCTAGGGATGTTTTTTGGGAAATGACTGACTAGATTTCATAAAATGTGCGACTTAGCAGATGGTTAAGGAAATGAAACAAATCTTTTATTGCTGCTGCCAGCCTTTCCAAAACATCCACAAAGACCTTTGTTTTCTAGTGGGAGGTTTATTGTCATAGCCACGACTCTTTGCATACAGAGATGTGTTTAATTCAGTAATGTGGAATGTTCTGCGCCAGCTGCCCATTTAAAGTGGACTTTGTGATCTTTGTAAGCCTATTCGCCTCAGCATAGACTCTTTTTTGGCATTTCTTTTAATTTTTGGAGGAAACACCCCGTTTTTTGAAACGATGAAAGAGGAGATGTACTAGATCTTGCTTAAGGGACACTTAGTAACATAGATTTAACAGCGATTGGTCAAGACTTGTAAGTGCATTCATGAATGCAGCAACAACAACTGGCATTTAAAAATGAAAAAGAAAATACACAGTGAAGGAAACAAAAAATATTTTGACTCATACCAACTGCTGACTGACTATAAAGTCACTTTAGCATGCCTGCTGTTGATGTGAATGCATAAAAAAACAAAACAAAAGTCTTTAAAAAGGGGTGTAGTTCACAAGGCAGCCCTTCAGTGGGTATTTACCCTCAGGGAGTCCCCAGAGCCCTTTGAGCCAAAAGGACCTTTTGCCTCCAGCTCTTCCAACCAAGTACCATCTTCTAATGATTTAGTTCCTGAGCTTGCGTTTGGGTTTATGTTATGTCACTTTAAAAAAAGAAGAAATATTTCCTTTCCAAGTTTGCTTAGTTCTTTGTTTTCTATTGTTTTCTAGTGACCAGTGAAATAATAACAGTGGTGGTCATTGGCTAATTAATAAATAAAAACAAATTGGATTAAAAGTAAAGCAAAAAGTAGCATTAAATGACATTTGTGAATGTCGAATATTTTAGTGCCTTTGGCTTGATTTAGTTCTAGGGTCGATTGTTTTAATATTATCACTTTAAAATAAATAAATAAATTAGAGGAGCTGGCAATGATCAGTGACAAAAGTCATGTCACGAGTAGATGGTTTGCACTTCAGCTAACTGAACAATCACAGCACTTTTATCAAGTGCTTCACATGTGAATTGCTGTGGTTTGCCTGCTGTCTCGTTTTAACTAGATTTTTCAAAAGGATTCAAAAAGCATTTGACCACAATAACTCCCTGATGAATATCTCGTGACTTTAATACATCCATAATTGGCCTTCTTGAATCTTATCTGAAGACTTTGTGTACATTAAAAAAAATCTTTTAGGCTTTGATATTTAAAAACCACAAAATTAAGTGACTTCTGAAGACAAACAGAGATGATTGCTATAGCAACATCTCACCAGTTTTAACACAATGGCCTTTACGGTTTCCTCTGAGTGCGTCACAAAAGCAACTGGCCAAGTGCAGCACTGCGGACTGACATAAAACAGCATACAGGTTCATAACTTTAACTGAACTGATCTAAAATGGTGCAAGTTATTGGCAATAAGCAACAATTCAACAGTTATTTTCTGTAATGTTTGCATTCACGGATCAATATAGTGAAGTTATGCAGATACATATGTTTGAGCTAATATGACGCTCGTGTTGTTCAGGTAATCAGTTTTGCTTTATCCGTGGACACTTTAACGGGCATGACGTTGCATTCTGGTCACGATGTATCTTGTTGCTCTGACACTCAGTTTATTTCAAGTCAGACTTTAAGATATTATACCAGCTTATTAGCCAAACAGCATGTCACTATATGCAACAATATCAAATAGGACAATGTAATTTCTGAGTATATAAATTCCTAAATACATTTCACCAGCCAATTTATTACGTATACCTGCTCAACTCCTGGTTTAAATAAATATCTAATCAGCTAATCACATATAACCAATTCAATGCATTTAGGCATGTAGACATGGTCAAGTAAACCCACTGAAGATCAAACTGAGCATCAGAATGGGGAAGAAAGGTGATTTACAGTAAGAGACTTTGAACATGTCATAGTTGTTGGTGCCAGATGGCTTTCACTATTTCAGCTACTGATCTGCTGGCATTTTCCCAAACAACCATCACCTGGGTTTACAGAGAATGTTCTGAAAAAGAGAAAATATCCACAGTGCTGCAGTCCTCTTAAAACAAGAAAAAAGAAAAGAAAAGAAAAGAGGCTTTTTGAGAATGGCCAGAATCTTTGAACTTTGATCGGCGGGGCGATCATGGCTCAAGAGTTGGGAGTTTGCCTTGTAATCGGAAGGTTGCCTCGGTCGTTGTGTCCTTGGGCAACACACTTCACCCGTTGCTCTCTGGTAGGGGTCAGAGGGCCCGGTGGTGCCAGTGTCCGGCAGCCTCGCCTCTGTCAGTGCGCCCCAGGGCGGCTGTGGCTACAATGTCGCTTGCCATCACCAGTGTGTGAATGTGTGTATGAATGGGTGGATGACTGGATGTGTAAAGCACTTTGGGGTCCTTAGGGACTAGTAAAACGCTATACAAATACAGGCCATTTACCATCTAACAGGAAAGCAACAGTAACTCAAATATTCACTTGTTACTGCCAAGGTAAGCAGAAGAGTGCGTCTAAATGCACAACACATCAAACCTTGAGGCAGATGAGTTACAGCAACTCAAGACCACCTGTCAGTTAAGAAGAGGAAACTAAGGCTACAGCTTGCATGGGGTCAATAAAATATGTAATAGAAGTTGGGAAGAATATTGCCTGGTTTGATGAGTCTCCATTTCTGCTGCAACATCTAGATGATAGGGTCAGAAACAACATGAAAACATGGATCCAACCTACTTTGTATCAATGGTTCAGGCTAGTGGTGCCATAATGGTGTGGAGGATTTTCTTGGCACACTTTGAGCCCCTAGCATCTTGTTGAATCTAAGCAATGAAGAATTCAGGCAGTTCGAAGGCAAAAGCAAGTCCTACCCAGTACCTGCAAGGTGCACCAAATGAAGTGGCCGATGAGTGTATGTACACATCCTATGCATCTAAAGAAGAAGAGGAAGAGTTAACAACTCCATTCCAATAGAGATGCTGTTTAAAATTGATTGCACCTGAAACAAATGAATTAAATTCAGTTGCAACGATCTCTCTTATTACTCTGCAGGTTAGTAATATATAGTGGTTTGTTGTGTGAGGCTGAAAGCAAGACAAGGAATCCTAGACACAGAGACTAATCCTATCTGAGAGCTCAGTTTGAGTTTCAGCTTCTGACCAGCTTAGCTGCATGTAGAACCAGTTCAGCTAAATCAGAAGTTACAGGAGCTTAAAACACAGTCGTATGCTAAACAAGACCTGATTGTTATGTCAGAAGTCAGCACAGAGTGAGCTGAACTACACCTAAACAGCAGCTAAACATTAAAATTTGTGGTAGGGAATAGATATGCCAATATGCTGACAAGCCTGCAGAATAATCACCATAGTGATAATACTTTTGTCTTCAGCGCTGGGAGGAGATGTTGATGTTTTCATCTTGTTGTTGTACCCCAACAATATGGAAATACATCAAATATGAGTTAATCAGTGAAGCGAACTCTATTATTGAGATTAGCACCCTTGACAATGAGCTCATGCCTTGATGCAACAGTGATAATGAATTTATCTTTGCTGGTAAATTGCATTATGTGGAAAAATCCTCAAGGTTATGACAACATTGC